GGTGCCCCGCCAGGTGTAAACCTCCAGGACAGGAGCTGCCACCCCCACGGAGACCGCAACCCACGGCGCGGCCGGAGGCAAGGGGCGGGGGTCAGTGGCCGGACCGCACAGCCGCCTACGCTGTCCCCTGCGGGGAAGCAAACCCAAAAGGCAGGAGGCCGCTCCTAACCTGGTGCTCCACCCTGGAGCTGGGCTCTATATCAACCCGGTGCACAGTAAACCTCCAGGACAGGAGCTGCCACCCCCACGGAGACCGCAACCCACGGCGCGGCCGGAGGCAAGGGGCGGGGGTCAGTGGCCGGACCGCACAGCCGCCTACGCTGTCCCCTGCGGGGAAGCAAACCCAAAAGGCAGGAGGCCGCTCCTAACCTGGTGCTCCACCCTGGAGCTGGGCTCTATATCAACCCGGTGCACATCCCACGGTCTGCGGGGGTATGAAACAAGGTGGGCAGTTCAGCCTTTTGAAGAGCTGAGTGGGTTTCTGAATTGGAAACCTTTGAAACAAGCAAGACAGAGTTGCAAAGAGAGAGGCCAAGAGAAGAAAAGCTAAAGCAGAATAGCCAGGAACCAGGACCATGGATCACACTGCTCCTGTTCAAGAGGAGCAGCCGAAATCTCAGGAACACCAGCTCGCTAAGAACCGAAAGGATCCAAAGCCACCACCTACGGGCTCGGAGAAACTCTCTCAGCTTCACTTTACAAATAAAAAAGGACGGAAGAAATGGAGGTAGCAGTGAAGTGGGTTGTGTATTTTAGTAGGACATTCAGGAAAGCTGAATGAATTAGGATCCATTCTGCCAAAACAAGAAAAGGCAAGTGTTAAAAAAAAAAAAAAGCAAAACCCACCATCACCACAATACCAAACTGTATGATTTGGTTGCAATATAGTCTACACATTCAATAAAGATAGAAGTAAAGGGACAAGAAATAAAAAAGTTTAAAATTCTTATTATACCTACATTAATGTATTTTGTTGGTTCTTATGAGCCTAGGACATGGGAGCTATTAGATATTATTATACTGTGCTCTGCTTGTGTTACCTAACTTAAGCTCACAACAGCCAAATAAACTATTATCCCTGTTTTAGAAAGGGTATTGAAATTCTGGGGAATGGGACTTCCTGGAACCAAGGCAGAGACACTGACTCTCTGCTCCATGCAGGTCTCATCCCTCCAGCACCCCTGAGGTTGTGGGCTAAGATAGCTTTTCATAGATTTGCTCACATTCTCTGGAACTGTTTTGTGGAGGCCAATTCAGGATTGGAAGGGATGCAAAATCCAAGCCCTTGATATTGTAGAAAAAGGAACCGAGGGCCACAGATGGAGATGGCTCCACCAGGAGTGGAGTGGCAACTGTAACCTGGAAAGTGAGCAGATAGCCTCCTTGTCTCCCCTAAGCTACCTCCCACACCATGTCTTTTCTTACATCAGCATTCATATTCTGTGTTTCCTAGTCATCAATGAATGTTGCTTTCCCTTGACATTGTTCCCACTGCTTTAACTTGTAATTTCCAGGGTTGGAGGACCATCCTTGCATTATTCTCATCCCCTTTCTCCCTGTTCCCCTTTGATTTCTGAGGCCTGGTACTTGACAGATCCATACCTCCCAAACCAAACAGGGGCTCTCTGTTTTGATGAGGCTCCAAAAAGGAACCCCCATAGGCTTCTGAGGTCATCCATCTAAGTTTTAATAATAATTTTCCAGAGAAGTTTGGCCTTAAAGCCAATTGTTCTTCTTCCCTCCCTCTCTAATGCAAATGCTTTCCCTCTTTTTATGACATTAGAGATTAGGGCCATTGTCCTGCTTAGTATCCCTAAGCATGGTTTTGGAATTCACTTTCAGTCTTCTTTTCTCCAAGTGAAAAAACATTGCTTTAAGATTCTCACAGAGATTCTAATTTATAGTTCTGCTATTTGTCCTCTCGTTTCTACTCTCTTAAACTGTGGTTCTTATCCTTCTGAAACAAAGCTGCGAATATCTGATGTCAAATAAGAATTATATATACATTGTGTTAGCCACTTTCTTCACTGCTGAGACACAACACCTGACACCCACGACTTAGATGAGGAAAAGTTTCTTTTGGCTCACATTTTGTAGAAGTTTTGCTCCACTACCAGCTGGCTCCAAGGCAGGGCAGCATGGTAGTGGGCAAGGCAGAGGAGATGCAGCTCAAGGCATGGTGGTAGGAAAACAGAGAGTTAAGGGAAGAGCAGGTGAGGGAGAAAAGCTCCTCCAGGCCAAGACTCCAAGGACTCCCTTTTTGGGCCAAACTCAATCTTCCATCATCACATTTAGCTATAAGTCATCAGTGGATTAATCTACTGAAGAATATCATGGCCCCAGGATACAATCACCCCAACCCTCCCCCCAGGAGCACATGAAGCTTTGAGGGAACTTCTAGACATAAACCATACCATGCAGCATGTAGTACGGTGAGCCGGGCATCAGATGTGCTACTGCAGAGTGCCACCTCAATGGCTGAGACTGGGCTTCACTTAGATTCTCTTTGCCAGGATGACCTCTTTAGACCAATGTTTGAGGTGTGCACTGAAAGAAACACATGAGAGTTTAGAAGTTACCAAATCTTGTGCCAGGTACAAGTACCCTAGTACATCTCCATGATCATCCTCTGTGTGAACTTTTGTGTGCATGCATGTGTGTGTGTGTGTGTGTGTGTGTGTGTGTGTGTGTGTGTGTGAGTGATGGGGACTGAGCCCAGGGCCTCAAACATGCTAAGCTCTACCACCAAACTACATCTCCAGCCCCTGGCCTGGCAGTTAGGATTCTCCTTTTACAAATCTATACTTCCAAGCTCTAGAAGAAAAGTTACTTTGCCTGTGGTCCAACACCTAAAACTCCAGGCTAATCGTGTCCTAATTCCATAGTCTCCTAGATCAAATCCATCTTATCTACTTATCTACTCTTCTGTACTTGTTTATGAGTGGTGTTTGTGGGCTTGTAATTGCCTTTTGTTTTAATGGCTCATCTGAAGGTCAAACAATAAATTCCTTGAGGACAATAACTGCATGTTCCACTTTGCTTTTTATACTCCAAAGCAATCCTCTTTTTCTTAAAACACAGTGGTTCTGCATCTCAAATGTAGATCGGCATCAGTTCACTCTTCTCGTCAGTAGATACAGCACTAGACCTTCTCCAGTGGGAGAAGGGAGAAGGGAAGGTGAGATGGGAAGCATTATCCCTTCTACAGCAGTGACCACCAGCACTTGATCTAAGTCAGGTCCTAAAGAGCTTTGGCTGCCTAGCCTCTTGGTAGGAGCAGGGTGGCTTTTGAACGGGGCCAGTGCCTTAGACTTAGCAAAGCCTGACTCCTCTGATCACTGCCAGCAGTAAAACTGGAACTGAACTGAGCCACTCAAGAGGCACCAATAGTGCAGGACAACTCCTGACCCTGTCATCAGGAGCCTGTGACAGTGACAGAGCTCATCAAGGCATCTCATAGCTGAGTCCAGAGCCTGTTGGTGAAACCACTTTCTTCTCTTGCCTTTAGATCCTGTCCATGACCTCTATTTATAAAAGAACAAAGAAAAGCTACTTCCTTCAGAGTATAATTCATTTCTTGCTACAAAAGTGAAAGTTGGAAAAATAGGTTGTGAAAGGAGAAAAATACACAATAGGACCTAACAATTTCAATATGCTTAGTAGACTAACTACCATATTAGTATTTTTAGTCACTCTGAATTTAACACTATAGTACAAATGGAGCATACTTATAGTGTATAACTGAGGTAGTAAAAGCAAAAAGAGATAACTGATATATTAATGTATGAGTACACACATATATATATTCACATACGCATATACACATATTGCATAGATCCATATTTCCTTGCCGGGAAGTCTTTTTTCTCCTTATCCTGTCACTTGACCAGATGGATCCATCTCTTAGCCCAAGAGTGCTTAGCCACAACCTGACAAGTTTCAGGAATGCAGTTGGTCAAACGCCCTCCAATGACTCAGTGTACAGCAGCCCTAAATCAGTAGAAACAGCCCCAGACCTGGAGGTGGCGGACCTGTACCCGGACACTATTTTTGCTACCTTCTACCTGTGGGGTTTTAGGCAATCACATGGACCTCTCTGAATTTCAGTTTTCTCATCTGTAAAATGAAAATAGTATCACCTACCTCATAGGGTCTTGGAGAGGGCCAAAAGTACAAATTACCAAGTACCAGTGTTATGGGTAAGTCACTTTTATCCTCTGCTGGGTTCACCAGGGTGGCAGCAGTCCTCTGATTTTTATTACCTGGCAAGGGGGTGCACATCTGGATGGTTGAGTGTGTGCACCCCCAACCAGCTGAGGTGACTAGGAGGCCCCTCATCTTTCTATTCAGGAGCACCTTCCTTGACAAGGTACTATAATAGCACACAGGGAAAGAGAATGCCATTAGCAAAGTAGAAGATGCAGTTATTGTCTTCAAGGAATTTACTATTTAACCTTCAGATGAATCATTAATAAAGAGAATGACAAGGCCACAAACACCAGTCATAAATGAGTACAGAAGAGTAGATAAATAGATAAGATGAATTTGATTAAGAAGAACAGGGAATTGAGAAACGATTAGCCTGGGGATAGACACCTCTGGGTGAAAACAGTTTTGAAAGAGGGAAAGGAATGACAGCAAAGAGTGGCAAAGAATGGCAAAAAATGATGAGGATCCTCAGGAAACATTGTGGGACAAGGCAGATGACAGCCTATGTAGGATGAGGAGCCCGGGGAGATGACATCATAAAGGGGAACGTGCCATTTCACAAACTTTCTCACAAGCCTTCCAAAGTTGACACCTTTCTCTTAATTTTACAAGTGAAGGAAGCATCTGGTGCGGAGCCCAGAACTAGCACGTGAGGGAGTAAGGAGTCGGAATTCAGAACTGTGAGGCCCTTCGATGACACGGTTTCTTGGAGAGTGACTCCTAGTGCAATGCCACCGGGTTGCTGACCTCGGTGCATGTCAATCATTTTCCCTTCGAAATCCAGGTGAATTGTTTTTCCCCTGCAAGAGTTGTTACATTTGGGGGCTTTTAAAAGCTCAGGCTCTGACCATTTCCCCACCTGGTTGGACCACTTTGACTTCTATTGTTTAATTTTTTTGAAAAGGTTAGCAACTCCGATAAATTTGGCCCATATGCAAGCATGCTTGTGTTTTAAGCCTCAGATCAGTCCAGAACATGGTTAGAGATCCAATTAAAGCCACTCAAAACTAACAATGGTTTGAAAGCTAGCTATTGATTAGAAATGGGAATGTCAAGTTACCTTTCCCAAACAATAAGCTCATTACAAGGCACTTCAGAGAGAGTCAGGCATTAAAGACCTTGCTTTGATGACTTTGAAAAGGTAGAGAAAGGCAACAGAATTAGCCATAGAGGGAGTGTTTGCCCAGGTTAGAAACTAAAGATGGTGGGAAACTCTTATCTTACAGACAGACATTCACAGAGAGAAAGATATGCATGTAAATGTATTTCTGTATACAAGTTATAACATGTTTATTAATGGGCTTTATTTCCACTCCAGTATCTCTATTGGGTAAGTAACTATTTGCTTAATAGAAAATCTTGGAAAATAGTTCAGTGAATGTTCAATAAAGGGGAGGGGGAGGTGGCTATGATTCTCTTAATACCCAAGTGAATCAACTGTTAGCTTTCTGAAACTGGATTTATATGAATTCACCCATGCTGTTATCCAGTCCCTCCTGGTAGAGATGGCACCCTATGTATGCTAGGGATCAAAAGCCAAAGAACCTAAAAAGTGTGCAGTCAATTGCTGTGTGCATGTGTGTGTGTGTGTGTGTGCATGTACATGTGTGTACACGTGTGTTACTTGTATATTACCAGGAATTGATCTTAGGGCACTTGCAGGAAGCTATATCCTTAATTTTTTTCTTTCTATTTTTTTAGTGTGACACAGGGTCTCTCTAATTTGCTAGGTTGCCCAGGATAGGAACTTGCAGTCTTCCTGACTCAGCTTCCCAGACTGCTAGGATTACAGATATGTGCCACCACACCTGGCTAATCACTTGCTTTTTAATAGCTTATATTCTTACAAAATAACAAGTTCATTCCATTATGGTGATAGGCAACAAAATAGTGTTAACCCTCATTCCCACCCTACAACGGATTGCCCAAAGCAAAACCAACCAAACAAAAAGATTATACTGTACTGGCTTATATCCACAGATCAGTCAGATTTATAACTAAATCTGCCTAAGATACTGCTGAGAGGAAAAGGGGTATGTGTGGGAGTATGTTAATATTTCTTTCTTTCCTTCTTTTTGTTGTTTTTTGTTTTTAAGACAAGGTCTCACTATATAATTCAGCCTGGCTTTGAACTTCTGGCAATCCTCCTGCCTCAGCATCCCAAGTGCTGGGATCACAGGCATGCACCACCATGCCTAGCTCTATTTCTTGTCTTTGTTTGTTTTGGGACCAAGGATCGAACTCGGGTCCTTGCGCTTGTGAGGCAGGTGGTGGCTCTATTTCTTGATTTATTCATTCAACAAAAAATTTATGAGTGCCTATGAAATGCAAGACTTTGTTCCAGGTGCTTGAGATACAAGAGGACAAAAGATAAAAAAGACAATTAAAAAAAGAAAAGAAAACCAAAAACCAAAATCCCTGCTTTATTCTAGAGGGGAGTCACTGGGAAGACAGACAATTAAGAACATAAAAATGGAAAAAAATTAAAATGAGTAAAATATGTATGTTAGAAGGGAATAAGGGAGGAGTATGAGCAAACACACAAAAGGGTGAAAGGCCTGAGGGCAGCTTGCGGGACAGGAAGGGTAGCAGGTAGCTTGCTCCTTTGTGTGTAGCAGTTCATGTAATCACTGAGAAGTGCAGTTTCAGCAAAGACGTGTCAGAGGTGGAGGGTTCACCCCAGGGGATGTGGAGGGGAAGAACACCTTGGCAGGCAGAACAGTGTAGGGCCCTGACATGCTTGGCGGGGTACAGATACAAAGTAAAGAAATGATTGTGACTGAAGTAGACAAAGTTAAGGGGAAAATGGGTGAGTGAACTTGACCTTCTATGCTCTGCTCACCAGGGTGTTTTCCATACTTTTTATCAACAGCTTGGGTTGAAGATAATTTACTCTTTAAAGAGATTTATGTATCTTTTAAAGAGACATACAAATATGAATGTGCACAACATAGTTCAATAAGTGCAGTTAACAAAATAGTGTTCATACGTAGGATTCTTTAAAATGAAACACACGCACGTGCACACACACACACACACACACACACACACAAAGACAAAGACAGAGACAGAGAGAAACAGAAAGAGGTGGCACATGCCTATAATCTCAGCACTGTGGAAGGCTGAGGCAGGAGGATCACAGGTTTGATCCCAGCCTGGGTAATTTAGTTAACTTAGTATGACATTGTCTCAAAGAAAAATAAAACATTTTTTAAAAAAGAAAAGAAAAAGGTTGAGCTCTGTTTGGGAAGACTGGGTTCATTTCCCAATACTGGCCCCCCAAATCTCATGTTCTATCATTCTCTCTCTGTCTCTCGCCCCAGCCCATACTGGCACTGGTGATTGAACCCAGGGTCTTCACCTTGAGCTACATCCCCAAGGTTTTATATTTTTATTTTGAAATAAGTTCTCAAGTTCTCACAGAGTTGCTAAAATTTGCTAAATTTCCCAGGCTGGGCTTAACTTTGTGATCCTTCTGCCTCATCCTCTCAGAGTGCTGGAATTACAGGTGTGTACTACCACCATGCTTAGCTATAACACTTATTTTCTGTTTCATACTCTTGAAAGAAATTTGGGAGGAAAAAAACTCATTAAATATCAACTTTGGATTGTAGACTTGTTGAAAACAGGAAGAATGTCTTTATGGCCATACAGCAAGCAACACAATGTCTTGGATGGTGAGGATGCCAGCAAATAAGCACTCCACATATAATTTGAGTTAACGCATGTTTAATTATTCCTGTTTAATTATTTCTTATTAAATATAAGTTTTTCTATCTATTACAAACACCTTGCCCATGCACAAACATATGCCATTCCTTTGAATTTCTTTGTAGTGACCTGGAATGTTTTCCAGTTGGATTTTCCAATTTGCGATTCAAATCTATGAACATAAGGCTTATAACCAATGTAGCTTCTCTCATCCCACTTCCTGGTCAGGAATACAACCCAGTTCTCTAGAGCATCCGTGGAGATCTTTCTTGTATCGAATTCTTCCCATTAGTTCTCCAAATTGTGTAAGTGCTTTCCATCATCTTAAGATCGTTTTGGCATCAGCTTCTCTACTGCTTCAGCTGATGACTGTCGTTATTTTAGGGATTCCCACCCAGAAGTATGCATGTGTCTCAGATCCTCACTCACAGGAACTCCTTCCCAGATGTCCTCTGGTGAGAAGCCCAGTTCTACCATACAGTCCTTGTTCACAGTGGCTTTGATGACTGGCCCCACAGGCACCATACCATCCTTGGATCATCACCCTCAGTGAGAAACAACCCTGAGGGTTCTCTGCTGTTGTTCCACCCCAACCCTATATGACTGGCTTGATACAGTTTCGCTTGGCACCAGTCTTTATTTTCATTCTTCAAATCCTAAAAATATACATGCACTTTGACCATTCAATAGTCCACAGGGCTGCACCCGGGCCTCACTGTACTTCACCTCATTGATGGTGACACCTCCGAAAGCAGCGTGGCTGCAACCTGTGGCTGGCGCCTCTGGGATGCATGCTAGCAAGATACAAACTCAGCGTTGCCCACTGAACCATCTGGGTGGCCCAGTGTGTACAAGAATCTTCCCTATCTCTTTGATGAACACATTACCACATTACGGGTCCCTTTAACACAATCCAGACACTGCAACTTTTGTTTGTTGATTCAAAATTGTACAGTGTATTCTTCTTAAATTAGCTACTCCTTTTGTCCTGCTATTATAATTATTCAAAATATCTACATTAAATTGTACATATTAAAGAGACTTAACACAGTAAGCAGCATCAGCAGCAGAAAACCACACAAGTTGAGTCTCAGCATCACCTTCACATACATTTAGAGTATTGGTACTAATATTGCTGTTACATTAGGTTACTAATAAAAGAGAAAATCTTTATGACCAACTCCTCTTCTCCCATCCAGTGCCTTCCCACTCCTCCCGTGTGACAGAGGACAACTGGTATTGCTTTTTGCCCCGAAAGCACCAGGCAGCAATAATAAATTAAACTGGCAGTTGCTTCTCACAAGCAGTGGTCTTTTTCTGTCTTGAATAAGGGACTTCTTTACCACCCATGATTCTTGACCAAAGATCTATACCTGTGGGGTTTCCTATCAGCCCCAGCCCCTCTTACCACCCTCTGTTCACTCTTCAAGGCCTGGGGAGGGAGGGAAAAGGCAGGATGGAGGGTCAGTCAAGAGGACTGTCCTTCCCTTACTCCATTCTCCTCTTGCCTGTCACCGATTTCAGACCTGTCGTCGATCCTATCAGGGGTCCATAAAGCTGAGAGGACTCTGGCCCAGGAGAGGGGGGTAGGGGTTAGGCAAACAGGCCAAGGAGGCAGTTGGTTGAAATTTAACCACAATATTCTCAGTCTCTATTGTTTTGAGTGAGGCCCAATATTTCCACAGCAGGATTATAGGATCTGATTAACCATGTTAGACAACAATGCTGAGCTGGGATGGGCTTCCCCTTCCAGCTGCCAATATGAAAAAGTAAACAGAACACCCAGATTTCATAAGGGACTCCCAGCAGCTCCAAGCCCGATTCCCCATTTCCAACCCTACCACTGTTTGGGCCCAAAGTGAGAGAAGGAATAGTGTAGCATTGCATGCTCCTTTAACTACTGGCCCTTGGCCCAGCAGGACAAGTAATCCTGGCACAATCTTCCCAGGTGAGTCAATGGCACTGTGCTCCCCACACCCTGGAGTTCTTTCAATGCCTCTTCCGGGTTCCCCTGGTAGGCTGGTCCAGATAGTCAGGAATCTGTGAGAGTTGAGTGCCCAGAGGCCAGTGCTCATTCAAAGGGGTCCAAGGGTGTGGAAGGTAGCAAAAGATCGGTTGGGCCCTGGATAGAAAAACAGGAGGTGGAACTTACCAGCTCAAGAGAGCAATTGAGCATTTACTAGAACACTCTGGTTCTACAAAATGGCATCCACGTGCCAGGGTAGAGAAATGAGAGCTCAGAACTGAGGGGACACATAGAGGACCACCATAGAGACTCAAAAGATGGGCAAACATTCCACCAAGTGTTCTGAGATGAAAAGACAGATGGCCTCCCAGATTCTCAGAAACAGAGGGGTTCCCTGCAGCCCCTGTCCCTCACACAGACAATCTACCAGTAAGTTACCCTCTCCCTGCTGGATGTTTCCTCTCAGGATGGGGTCTTCAGAGGCCCGGGCCAGGAGAACAAGGAAGGGATCTAGAGCAACAAGGAGCCCTGGACAAGAGAACGCAGTAGGGGCTTCCTGAGAGTCACAGCTACTGGTGACCCCCCAACATGTGTGCTCCCTCCTCCTCCTCCTGTGAGTATCTAAGGGCCTAGGATAATCCATTATACTTTGCCGGCCCATGCATTTATGGATGTTGGTGACAGGGATTAGCAACCACCGTTCTTGAGCTCAGTTTGATGGCTTCCTTGCAATATGTCCCTCCTTTTGAACGTTTCTTCAGGAAAATTAGAACACAAATTTCTCCAGGGCAAAGCTTAGAAAAACATATTTGAGGTAACATAAAGTTGTGTAGCACAATGGCAACATTTTCTAATTTAGGGTTAAAAACTGACCTTCTTCTCATGGAATAAAAGGAAGGAAAAAAAGAAAAACCCAGAGGAAGTGTATCTATTAACAGAAACTACGTTAATAGCACAATGTCGAAAAGTAAGAAAACAGATAAAGTAAGCTCAGGAGAGGAGGGTTCCTATGTGGATTCAGATTTGCCCTATACTCTTTGGAGCAGCTCTTCTTCGTTTTTGTAAGTAGGAGATAATGAGGAGCAACATAGATGTAAGAAAGAAGCTGACCCCGGTGAGGAAATCAGGTATGGGAGCCGATCCAGGACTGGAGAGGCACAGCTTCTCACATCACCCAAAGGGGCTCCTGCGTATCTCCCAAGAGGCCCAGGCTAGGGAAATGGTTTGGAAATGGGACATTTAAAAGAACAGCAAAGAAGGCTGGGGATCTAGCTCAGTGGTTCCAGCACCTGCCTCACAGGTGCAAGGTCCCGATTTCGATCCCCGTACAAAACAAACAAACCAACCAACCAAAAAATAAACAGCAAAGAAAGGAGTCCACATTACCCCAGGATTAAAAACAAGAAGCAGTAGGCCTGAATATGGGGCAGGGGGCATCTCTTCGATGCCCAGGGCTCGCTGTCCATGCCCAGCAGCAGCCTTGGAAGGACCTTGGTCTCACCAAACTAGACTCTGCCAGTCGAGAGCACAGGAGCACAGACCTCTGTCCTCATCACTAAATGCTCTAGGAATTCCAGAGCCAGCACCTTGGAAGTCGGTGTATGCCTTGGAAACAGTCCTTGACCAGGGACACTGGGGACAGGGGAAAAGAATGGCTGTGGAGGGATTTTCCACGGCTCCACTTGGGCTCTACATTTAAACACTACTGGAAAAGCACCCTGTGAGGCATGAGATAAGGTGCTACCCAACTGGAGTGTGGAGGGGAGGATTTCTTTCCCAGCAAAGAGCCATGGTCCTAGCTGGCTGCCCCATCTCAGCTGACAGCCCCGTGGACCAACCAGCGAGGCCAAGTAGGCCTTGCAACCTAGGTGGCGCTATTTCTCTACTTTTTGGTTAAATTACTGCAGGGACTTCCTCGAGGTCCCAAGTCCTGCTCCTGGTTTGCTGGCTTGCTCGTGTAAACCACCTTATATTTTTTTTTCTAAAAATACTCCAAAGCAATTGAAAGAGTCCCTTCTCCCACCAGCCAGCCCTGGCCCCAGCCCCGGCCCCGGGGAGCGGGTGGGTAGGCGGGGAGGTGGGCCACTGCTTTATTAAACACAGGGAAAACTAATATTTACGGAATAAAATTTATGGAGCAGCCACGAGAATTCGACCCTTTTATGGCAATGTAGAGTGGGGGTTGGGCTAGGCTGGGGGCCTCTGGGAGGGGCCCAAGCCAGGGAGCTGGGCTGGAATACAGCCTGGCTAGGCCAAATTGTCAAAGCAGGGATTTCCCCAGAGTTGCCTTGAGATGAATGATTCTCAACCACCACCCCTAGCTTTGGGGTAAAGGCTTCAGGGCAAGAATGCCCAAGGCCGAGCCTCTGGCAGTGATGTTTCCCTAGGATGTATTTAAGTGATACCCCACAGAGGTAGCAACCTTGGGGATACAGGCAGCAGTGGGTAGGGAGGTTACTAGTTAAGTCTTACTTAACACCCCCGCCCCACACACACCACCCAGTACTGGGGATTGCATCCAGGGCCTTCAAACCAAGCTATGTCCCCAGTCCTTTTTTGAACTTATTATTTTTAGACAGGGTCTCAACTAAGTCACCATGCATCCCAGGCTGGGCTTGAATTTGCCATCTTCCTGCCTCAGACTCCCAAAGTGCTGGAATTACAAGCGTATGCTACTACACCAGGTTTATTATTAATCTTTAGAAAAAGTCACACAATCTTATGAGAACATGAACAAAATTATGCTCTTAGGATTTTCCTTATCATTTTAGAGGATCCACAGGCCCCTAGTTTCTCTGATTAAAAGTTCCTGCTGGAGGCTATGCTCTTGGGGTGGAGAGGTTACCCAAAAGAACTCCATCTTCTCCAAGCTTGATGGGGAAGCTTTTCTGTTTATGTGGCCCCTTGGTGTGTAGACTGAAATCTGGCTACCTAAATTCTGCTAAAAAGAAACCAAAGGACAAAGTGAGCCAGCCAGTGGACTGTTTTCACACAGTTCCCAGTTCTCCTTGATGACAGTCACTCTCACCAGGTGCAGCAAGGCATTGTGCTCTGCAGGTAAAGAGAGGTCAGCAGCAACAGGGATGAGCCCTGGCAGCGTCTCTGGCAGGAAAAGACAAGGCAGCGGGTCCTAGAGTCTTGGAGGACTCCTGCCTTGAACAGGCCCCAGGGAGAAGAGCTGCTGAGTGGAGGCAAGGTCACTGGATAAAGGTGGGAAGCAAAGAAAAATTAGAAGACTACCCAGCAGTTTGGTAATGTGTATAATCATGCTTTTCACAAGTCAGTTGTCTGGGTTCAAATTCTGACTGTCACTTACTAGCCGAGTGACCTTTGATAAGTCACTCGAACACCTGAATGAACAATTTCCTAGTGGGCTAACAGTAGCTTCCTCAGACAATGCTGTGGTACCTGATACACACGAACTGTTCATTAATCAGAATGGTGTATTACGATTGTCCTGTTTCTGGTGGTGTTCTTTTTCTTATTTTTCCAGCCCTCCCTTCCCCTCCTTGAGATTGAATCCAGGGCCACATGCTCTAGGAATGCCTCTCCCACTGAGCTACACCTTCTGCCCTTTTTTGAGACAGGGTCTCACCAAGTTGCCCAGGCTTCCCTTTTTGCCATCTTTCTGCCTCAGTCTCCCATGTGGCTGGGATTACAGGTGTGCTACTGTATCCAGCTACTGTTGTTCTAATCGTAACCATGAGCACTGTGTATTTCTTGGATGGTCCTCTCCCCATAGCCTGACATCAGTTCAGAAACATCAGCTCCAGCTGGGGAGGACAGTGAAGAGGAGGCCATAAAAAGCAAACACACTGGAAACGTTCTCTGCATTCTGCTCCCGACTCCTTCCTCTACCTATAGGCTCCCAGTGAATACCTGAGTCCTACTTTCATTCTGATCCCTCCAAGATAGTTTTTGATGGTCTTACTACAGAGGAAGATCTGGCAGAGATCAAGGGACTATGACAGTGCTGGAAGTGCCCAAGAGGTGACCATCTCTAATTCTGACCTTTTATTCTTCTTTCCTGTTAGGCATGAATATTTAGTTCTGTGGGCCAATTCTGTGTCCCAGGAACTCATGGAAACATTTCCTGTTCCATCACCCTAATTCTTCTACTTCCTATATTATCTGAAGTGGAGTAGATGAGAAAGTCAAATTTCTTTTTCTGCCACCCAGGAGAACCTATCTTGGCCGTAATGCTCAAAGCTCTTTGTCATTTTGATCCCAGATTATAACAACCCTGTTGTCTATGCCTTGGAAGCAAACAGAAAACGCACCCAAGTTTGTCAAAAAAAGAACAGTAGTCTGTCTTGTGCCACCATGGAGGAGTTCCTGAGATAAAAGTTTCTGAAGCTGTGGCTCAGGCCACAGCAGAGAAGCTTAAGAAGAACCCCAAGGACTGGAACGTGGGCTCAGATTTCACCTAGGGATAACAACAGGCCTCAATGAGGTAAGGTGGTAATGAGTTCATAGAAAAATAATCTCAAAAGCAGGGGATTGGAAGTGATTTTATTCTGTGCCAATGAGAGAAGTAGGTCTCCGAGGAGCATCTGGGACTGGCTAGGAACTCTGGAGAAAGGTAGACATTCTGTACTCTTTGCAGACCAGCTGTATATACCAAAGCCAAGGTAGGGTCCTGGGTCTGAAGAACCTCCACCAAAAGAAAGGAAAGTATGGACTTCCAGAGATTAGCTTCCATTCAAACAGAGAAGACCAATGCCCAGTGGGCTTAAGCCAGGATTCCCTTGGTTAACAGTCCCATTCAGGTGGCCTGCCCACATGAACTTTGTCCTCTTGCCCAACAGTGGCCTCTGACTGTAAGTCTGTATGAGGTATACTCTGCCATGGAGCTCCTTTCCCAGTGATGCTGGGAGGCTATTCTCCGGGTCCATCCCAGAGGCTGAGACCATGACAGGCTAGTTGAAGAGCCCCCTTGGCTTCTTCCTCTTGGCCTTGGACAGCTGAGGTCTCTGCATGAGGCCTGCAGTACCCTGGGAAAAAAGGAACCCAAGTTAACAGAAGCTTTGAAATGGATCCATTTATAGTAGGAAAGGAACTTTCTTCCTCTCATGACTCTTGGCTAGGATGAGGCCATAAAGTGTCTGACACAGATGTTTTGAAGTCTATATCAGGGAGTAAGTGTGATGTAAGACCCCAAAACATAAGATGTACATACATGTGCCTTCTCCCTCAAGGAACAACTTCACAGGCCTTCACTGAAACTGGGATAGGATGGAAAGGGACTCAAGGCTCACCATTCAGTATAAGAATGGCAGAGAGAAGACAGCAACCAAATAATATATGAAAGACCAGGACTCGCCAAATTTGGAAGCTTGTTCACAAATACCCATCAGTATTGCTGAACAGCAACTGCAGGGACCACTGGCTAGGGGATTATAGGTGCTGACTCCTCCAATGCTCAGCACACCATCCAAGAAACTGCTCATGACTCACAGTGGGCTCTTTCTCAGGCAGTGAGGAGGATGCTTCTGAGGAGACTGGCTGTTCTGGCTGGCTCGGAAGCTGGCTACCAGCTCCTTCAGGGGAGGTGCTGCTTGAGGTCTGAGGATCTCCTGAGATGGAAAAGATCAAGAGAAGACTGTGAGAAATGCCTTCTTACCAGGAAGACATTAGCATTTACCAGGCATTCAGATACAGGCCAGAGCATGGTACTAATAAATGAACAGACACAAGCAGCCACAAATTCAACTTTGAGCTGATTTTCAGAAAGTCTTGCTTCCATGTAGATACCTCAGACCCACTCTCAGCAGAGAGATACCTTGACTCAAGGAGCCTTTCTTCAGGTTCCCTAATGTCTCTCAATAGGGAGATGGGTCTTTCTGCTGGGCATCAGTTCTCCCTATTCAAGGAAGCTAGTCTTTGGGGTGCCATCTAGAACTTTCTGGAACAAGAGAAGTGTTTTGTGTCTTCACTGTCCAACTTGGTAGCCACTAGCCACATGTGGCTACTGAGCCCTTGAAATGGATTTCTAATTTTAGAAATAAATTGCTTTTTATTAATTTAAATTTAAATAGCCACATGTGGCTAGAGCTAACCACACAGGACAGCACAAACACACACACATTAACCCCAGGCAGATCAGGTATGTCTGGAGTTCCTCACCAGCACCTTGGTGCTTCTGTCCCACTTGGAGTTCCTGTTTGGTGACTGCTACATACAGACTCTGCAGATTCTTGACAAAGGGCCTTCCATTGCTGATGTCGCATGCTGCTGGTAGTTTCTGCAAAGGAGAGGAGATACTGTTACCAGTTATACTGTCTGGCCAGAGAATAGGGATCTGAGATCTCACTGGCAGACCTGACATCGATCCTAAACAAATTTAAATAAAGTAGTTAACTCCACTGCCAAGCCTGCTGGACCATCATAAAGACTTCCTGGAAAGCCTCTGAAAGGCAACTCCAACTGTGGGCCTCTATATCCTCCAGCTCTTAAGTCTCTAATGTTTTCCCACAAATGTTCTACAGATCTCTATGCTCTTCCTTCTTTTTGTTTTTTTGTTTGTTTGTTTGTTTGTTTTGGGAGACGGGGTCTCACTATGTAGTAGAGATGGACCTGCAACTCACTATGTAGCCCAGGCTGGTTTCGAACTCACAGAGATCCTCCTGCCTCAGCCTCCCAAGTGCTGGGATTACAGGCTTGCGCCACCATGCCCAGCTGTATGCTCTTCCTTCTAAAAAGATATGCTTTCAGAGGCCTGTTTTAGAAAAGTTATTGTCCCTAAGTTTTCTGAGCTGTACAGATTACCATTTTAAATAATTTTACTCCTAAACTTCCACAGATGGGAAAAAAAGGTTGACAAAGATCCTGAGGTTTTCTTGCCCACTGTAATTCTATTGTGCTTTACTATGATTAATTTACCCTCAACTGGGTGATATTTTCCCCAAAAGGGTGAAAATTGATTTCTGAGGGTAAAAAAAGAAAAGCTACTCTTTTAAAAGTATAATATGTGTGTGTGTGTATCTACATATATATATATACATCTCGTACATAAACAGATGTTTTTGTGTTTTTGTACCATTATAATTTCCTCTTGGAAACAGCCTATTTGCCCATCCATTGGAAACTGGATAAAGAAGTTGTGGTTTTTCTATAAAATGGAATATTACTCAGCCATAAAGAACGAGAAAATAGATTCATTCATAGGAAAATGGATACATATTGAAGATATACTCCTAAGTGAAATAAATAAGGCACACATGTGTAAATACCTAATAGTCTCTCTGGTGTGAATAATCTGCAACAATGCATAAGATTCTAATGATTACTGACATTTAGAAATGGGAAGAAAGGAGCTAAAGGTGTGGGAAAGGTGGGGTGGGTAGGGGAAGAGTAAAAAGGGAAAAGAAAAAAATGAGAGAATGAAAAGACGAAAATAAAGTGTTTGTAGATGGGGAGGGGAGGAGGGGGTGAAGGGAGGGCAGAGGTAAGGGGAAAAAATGAGAATCAAGACTTGTCATGTAGAGGTACACGATCCCAACAATGAATGTAACTGTACTGTATCCCTAAAATGTACCAATAAACTCAATTAAAGCTGAAAAAAAAAATAATTTCCTGAGAGGGAGTGATTAGGAAAAAATGTCTTTAAGTTTCTTAGGGAGGTGACAGTGAAAAACAAAAACACTGCTATAATTACATCACTATGGAATGAACCGTGGGTGATATCCACAGCAAAATACTTTGCCTCATTCTAGTTCCATGTACTTGGCTGAACTGAGCTGAAGTACTGGGAGGAGACTGAACAAAGTGCAATAAAAAATGAAGTGAAAAAGTGTGGTATCCAGCCAGGGATTTAGCTCAGCGGTTCAGTGGCCTGCCTTGCGAGCACAAGGACCCGAGTTCAATCCCCGGTACCAAAAAAGAAAAAAAAAAAAAAAAAAAAAAGAGTGTGGTATCCAAACCTGGTCACACATCAAAATCTTGGAATGGGCCCAGAACTACTTCATCAGTCCTATACACACCAATCATCACGGACGCCTGCCAAATTAGCAGGTCCCCATGAGCAGCCATGCCAGCAACTCACAAGGGAGACAACCCAAGGGGCATTCAATTCTAAAAAACCTCTGTGGGAAGGTGGGAGAGAGAAAATGTGAAAAACATGAAGTAGGTGCTGAGCTTATTAATCTACAGTCAGGATCACACAGTTACCTCTTCCTGAAGGGGTGGCTGAAGAACTCAATTGCCATGAAATAGAATACTCATTTCTAATCCAATTTACCTCCAGAAAGAACATCTCAGACTTGGATTTTCCTTTCTTTTTTATTGCAATGTAACATCAGGTATCAGAAAGGCTTGGACTTTCATTGGGAACTACTGTCAATAATTCAGGAGCCCTTAAGTCTAAACTTTGCCTCTAGTAGTAATCACTTGAGTCATGAGTTATCACACTACTCATCTCCAGCAACACTCCCTGAGGAATGACCTGGACCATGGAAAGCAAACTATCAGGCCCCACCTCCTTCATCCACCTCACTCTCCTTCTAAATTCCACTCTCTAACTCCTAAGCTAACTCCTCCTCCAAAGTCCTTTACTCCATAGGTAGAGAGCCTGAGTAGTGCAGAGGCAAGCAATGCCCTTCTTCCTTGAGTCTCTCAGACCTCCCTTCATATTGCTCGAGACATGTAGCCTCCATAGGGTCATGCGTGCACAGCTTCATGGGCCCATGCTGTCTGGGCTAGCAGACTTGAGGCAGTCTACAGTGATCTCCTCCTTCCCTTTCCACAGAACTACACTGACTCATAAATTTTCCAGGGTGATCTTTACCCAACTCATGTATTCAACTTCAAAATGAATACCAGAAGTAAGGCCTTTCAAGCCAGTGCTGCCCTGAACCTAAGTCCAAATCTAGCCCTTCATATATCTGTCCCACAGTTGCTGCCAAAGGTTATCCCTCCCAAGTTGCTAGTCTCACAAAACTACTAGGAACAGAATACTGCTATACTGAGTATTTACTATGTACTAGGCACTGTGCTAACCCATTTTTGTTTTCACTACTATTTTTCTGGCACCTTGAATAACCCCTAGCCCATGGTAGAAGCTGAGTAACAAATTATGAAGGAAAGAACATGGTAGGTACTGGTATGACCCCAGAACTAGTTAGTGGTTGGAGCAGGACTAGAATACAGGCAGTCTGGCTTCAGTGCCCCTACATAAAACCACTATCCTATTTACTTCTTTGAACAGCAGAATTTTAGTCAAAATAGCAACCCAGCCACTTCTAGTATCACAACCCACAATCTCCCATATCATGGTTTATCTGTCATCCCTAAGGTAACAAGAAAAAAGGGAGCAGATAAAAAGGAGGCAGCTAGTCCTGGCTGGAACCCTGAGGGGCTGAGAGGCCATAACCCCAGCTGGTCCCCTACACAGGTGACTCCTTGGGCAACATCTCAGAATGTGACAGGGAAGAGAGGTGGGGAGGCCTGAGCTTGGGAGGAGAAACACTAGCTCCCAGGGCAGGACAATGGTGGAGGCAGGGAGGGGCCAGCAGAGATCAAAGGGAGAAGGCTGGAATCAGGACTGAGCCAAGAAAATAGTGTCCCCTGCTGTAAGTACGACAGCCAGGAGCACAGTGTACCAGCCACAAAGCGGGTCACTGCCCAGAGAGGGAGGAAAGAATGGGTCAGCCTTTGTGTAACCCATTCATCTGATTAACCCGGAGTTAATTCTAGCCAGCAACAGTCACTGGGATTCCATGTGCTGGGCACTACAGACTGGGGGTGGGCAAAGGATGCATCAGTCCTTCCCTCTTCAGAACAGATCTGAGTCAACACAATGATAAACAGGAGTCCTGACTCTAAGAGTTCACATTCATGAGCAGGAGATAGACATCTGTTGTTTGGTTTTGTTTATCAAGCAATTTGCTATAGCAGAGTTATAAACAAAGGGCAATAGGAACCCAGAGAAAAAGAAAGAGATGAATTCCAACTGGGAGTCCTGAAAAAAGCTTTAGAGTGGTGACTTCAAGGTAAGCTTTGTAAAGTTATTCTTTGAGTCTGGTGGAAATGTGTGAGGTGCAAAAGTATGAAAAGACAGGTATATCTCAGGGAAATGTGACTAGATGGCTCAGTTCATGTCCCCCAGATTGCAAAGGACTGAGTTTTCTGAATTAAGGTCATGCCCGTGGGAATTTCCCTGTGCTTCACAAAGTGACTTTCTCTACTACATAACCATTTGCCAAAGTTTCCTTGGCTCAAATTAATACTGAAACAACAACGAAGACTTAGAAACTTTCTCTAGGTTTCCTTTTTAGATTCTTGGCTACATTTACTTAAACTCTCTTAATACTCCTTTACTACTGACTTCTAGAACTATGACTTTTCACTAGCCACAACAGCTATATTCCCTTCTGGTCTCCAAGACCTACTTTATTCTCCTGTCTCCAATTCACTAGGGTTTTGGCTCTTGTTTACAACCATATAAGAAGCCTCCAGAAAAACCAAAGTTACAGAAATCCCATGGGCCATTTTATTTCTCCTTCTTGTCCTTACTGCAGCCTATCTTGGTTTGTAGGACCCGAACTCCCCTCTTTTACAGTAACTCCTATCTTTCTCAAGTCTAAAACATACTCCCAGTAGTACAGAAATTCTAAGACTCCCAGAGGATTTGTTAGTGGGATCCTAATGGCCAGTCTCAACCAGATATACATGCTCTTCCTCTTCTCATCCTCTCTCGTCCTTTCTTTCCTCTTAGAACCGCTTCAGAAAAGATACCTTTAGAATCTGGATAAGGCTCACCCTGATACACTGTTCAACCTGTGAATATGGGCCTCAGTCTGAGGACAGATTTAACAGACAGAAGAAAAAGAGGAAAAACAAGCTCACCAGATTTCATCAATATTTCCCTGAGAGTGGATCTTTGGTTCTGACCCCAGAACCAGAAGCTGGCGCAACTCCAAGGCCATGGCACCAACCACCACAGTACCATAGCTGCCAGGTCAGTCCCTACCTAATATATAACTTCCCTAAGCATAAGAAGCCCTCTTCTCCCTTTTGCAATGTGGCAAACTCTGCTGGTCTAGATACATTCTTCCCTCTCCAGGGAGCCCAAGTCCCAGTTTGGAGAATCATGGTAATATCATTATCAGCTTCTCTCAGGGATAAGAAAAAGCACATTAGAAAGTTCTTCTAAGCTCTCAACTGCCAAAGGGTTTGCCAAACTAAATAGAAAAGAACAGAATAAACGATTTAAGAAGAGGACTGTAATGGGAAAGACTCTTCAAG